AAATAAATGGACGACGGGTCTAATACAAAAACCACGAAAAAAATGTCTCAAGTCAACCTATTCGAAATTTAAATTGTAAACAGTATCGCGCTGTCAGTCAAACAAATGAAGACTAAAGCGGGGTTTGGCGCTCTGTATACGATTTTAGCGCCTTACAAGTGCGGACACTTTTTAGCGCGGACCCGACGTCCATATAATTGTAAGTCAATGTGGTGTATGTATATTGCTAGCCGGAAAAGAATACTAACCTCCCTGTACATTATGCATTTTCTTTTGTGCGTCCAATAAATAAGGGTTATTAGATATATTTATCGCATGTTCTGGGTCATTACCGCTTAGGTAGTAATTCATGGTCTGTAAACGTAACTAGATTTCGTATAAAGACAAATCAAATCAAGCTGTCACGCTTTACACATGATTTAAATTGACTCTTTACCGCTTAACAAACGGTCCAAAGTTTCAAGGTTGACGTGCTCATGACTGTATTAGAAAATAAATATTAGCTTAATAGTAAGCATGTTAAAATGATATATGAGTGATATATAGTAGGACTTTACCTATTTCTGACGGCAAGCAGTAGTGTCAGCATTACTGCGTTCCGGTTTTGAAGAGTACGGGTGCTGGTACTATACATTTTTAAGACTTTAGAGCATTGACTTACAAATAAATGGACGACGGGTCTAATACAAAAACAACGAAAAAAATGTCCCAAGTCAACCTATTCGAAATTTAAATTGTTATGTCATCGCAGTATCGCGCTGTCCGTAGAACAAATGAAGACTAAAGCGGAGTGTCGCGCTCTGTATACGATTTTAGCGCCTTACAAGTGCGGACCCGACGTCCATATAATTGTAAGTCAATGCTTTAGAGGCCTAAAATATAGGAATGCATTAGTCATGCATTAAAATAAATTAATAAAATTGAACAAAATCCAGATATTATATAAATTAATAAAACATTTTCATATTACATTCTTGCTTTGTAAACAATAGGACGTTCGGTAACTTTCATTCGGTAACTGTGTTCTGAATAACGGTTGTAGCTTTTGCCGATCGAGAAATACGAGCAATCGTCACACCCGTGTGTGACGTCATTTCGGTTCCATTTGGAATACGACAGTTTGACGTCCGATTCGGTTATTGTGAATAAAAATTAAAAGAAATCGTACGATATCTATAATACGCAGTTACCAATGTGCTGTAATCGCTTTACTGAGGTACGAATAAATAATTGTTTAAAAATGCATGACTCTTTATATAAGGAATAGAGCTTCCAACGTTGTAAAGTGTGTGTAAGAAACATACAGAGAGCGGGTGCGGATCGGGCGCGATTCGGGTCGAGATTGACCCGACAATACACCGAGCGCGGGCGCGTGCGACCCTTTATTAAATACACGGAATTAGATCCGCCGCGGTCCCGACCCGACCCTCGCCCGACCCGCACCCGCTCTCTGTGTGTTTCACGCTTAATTATAGTTGTTTTAGCATACATTTTGTTTGACAACACACTAATTAGGTACACCGCAGCAGGCGCCATCTTAGCCTTAGCGCGTACTAGGCTCATACGTCCATATACATCAGATACAGTATTATTCAATAACGTCAATACACTTCTGCTACGTTATTGTTTATATTAATCAAGAAAATATAAAAAACGTTAATTCTAATTTTGAAAAAATTTTAGAACCATTTTAATACATATATACTATTATCTTTTTTTATATAATATCAAGTGACGGGACAAAGAAGTCGTGCGCCTGATGGTAAGCTACACGCCTGTCCATAACAGTTGTAGTGCCACTCAAAGCTTTCAATCGCAAAGAATTGAGAGGTACTGCCACTGCGCCCATCCCTGAGACATAAGTTGACAAGTTGACAATACTCACATACTGTGATATATCTAGCAGTTCGAGGTTAATAAAGTTTTGTGTGGAGTTGTGGCAAAAGTCAGCGATTCCTATAGAGATGACAAGCAGGAACGATGTCATCGAGGTTACTGCTATCATTGCCAATAACGTTCCCGGCTGCAACAAAATTAAATGGTGATTACTTATACTCTAGACAAATTCGATGTAGAATAAATGTCAACTAACAAAAACATATCATTTTTAGGGTTTTCACCTCAGAGTCTTTCACAGTTACCACAATTTCAATATTTTCCTACGAAATTCTACTAGATTCTGGATAATACTAAATCTTGAAGCCATTTTTATAATGAATATTATTCAACAGAAGTTTCAAATCACCTAAAAATTACATGAAAATGACCAGTAACTAATTATTTGTAAAACTGTGTCAACCCTAGTGATTTTTTGATTTTAAGGGAGAGATTACAAACATTCGAGTTCAGAATCGGAAATAGATGCTGGATGATATAATATGTGGAAAATAATAACAAATAAAATCTTTTTAAAGTTTTATTTCTTTCATCTACCACTACCTACCATCTAGCAGTAAATATAAATAGGATGCAAAAACTTATTTTTATTAGTAAATAATGCGTATCAATGGGTGTTTTGTAAACCTTATAATAATTGGCCAGGTAAGTATTACTTCTACAATAGGTATAAGTAGGTAATTGGGTTACCAATTACCTACTTATACCTATTCAAATTCCAGATAAGGGAGCAGGTCGTGGGCAGAGCAAGCCTTAATAATGAGCATTGAAAAAAATGTTCGTTCCTATGCCACCATGCATTGGTTGCCTAGCAATGTTTTGTTATTAAACATTCTACATCGAATTTGGCTAGGATATATTTACTTTTGTTTGTATGACGACCTTGCTCACGAACAAATAAGTTTCACGCATTTAAATAACATTGGCTTAATTTAGCTACTTCCACAGTCACACAACACTAAGCGTTGAATAAAATAATTTTTAGGAAATGAAACTATTTTTCCGGATTTAAATCGCGTATATTTGTTTTTTCAAATAAACCGACGTTCCGGAAAAATAGTTTCATTTCCTATGTGTAACAATCGCGGAAACCTAAGAACTCGATAAAATAATTTTTATTTATTTTACATCGATATTGACATATTGAAATCCATCTCGTATGTGTTTTTCTTAACGATTTTGTACTGGATCGTCCGGCATTCTTAGTTCCGCTAGTGACATCTGGTGAGAGATGTTGTGAGGTGATGAAGGTTCTAAAATCTCTCATTTGATGTCATTAGAGGCTTAGAATGCCGAAAGATCCAGTATACAAAAAATTTTAACAAAAACACAGGAGAGTGAAACTATTTTTCCGGATTTAAATCGCGTATACTCGTATTTGTATTTTCAAACAACCCAACGTTTCGGGCCCTTTACAAACCCCAGGACCTTGCAAAAGAAGTCCGTTATCTAATCAGGATGGTGCGAGAGGTCATTGAAATTAAAAAACATAATTTCAACAGGAAAGATGGTTTCTGCGTACCACCAGTTTGGGATCCAGTATTTCCTCTGATGAAAAATCCTAAACACACATAAGACTGCAGTACCAATTAATGTTTTAATTTTTTCTAGTTTCCATTATTAATTAATAATAAATTTAACAAAAATTTCTATTGTTGCAATAAAGTAATTTGTAAAAGAATGTAGCGTAAATTGGAATGTTTCTTTGTAAAATTAAAAATAAGGTATTTAACTAATAACTTTTGTAACTATAATGAAAAAAATAAGGTGGTTTGCATTAATATTAGACATAACTGGTTGATGACTGTATCGCCTCAGTCAACAGTGACCATGGGACCCGTAAAGAGCCCGAATCGTTGGTTTGTTTGAAAAAACAAACATACGCGATTTAAATCCGGAAAAATAGTTTCATTTCCTACGTGCAACAATCGCGAAAACCTAAGAACCCGACACATAGGAGTGTTTCAACAACTCGGTAACTTGACCCGTAGCTCAGTTGGTAAAAGCAATACTACGGTGCTGTATCGTCGTGGGTTCAAGTCCCATCGGGTCGAAAAAGATTTTTTGTGTGTTCGATCTTTCTAATAATAAAAGCAGCTTCTAAACAATGTAGTTCCATCCCTGGCTAAGCCGGATGTAGCAGATTTTTTTTTACAAGTTTGTACGGCGCAAAACCGCATATTCGGTGGAGCATTGGACGAGGAGAATTCAATAGTGGATATCAAAAATCAATTAAAACGTATTGCGCGATGATATTTTTTTATACTTGTACTTTTACATAGGGGACTACTCGCTAACAGTGTTGTATGCTTTAAGAAAGTAACGAGAAAAACTTGAGAACCAATATACCAGGACCGGAAAGAATATGGTGCAAATGAGCAGGCCTATACTCAGTAGCGGGTGAATAGAGGCTAAAGAAGCAGATATTGTAATTTGACTACATAGCAGTAACAAGCATTTGAATGTATCGGCTTACGAAGCTTACTGATATTCAATTGAATTGTAATAGTACTTACAATAAGTATATCCAACAAACATATGTGAAAGTATGTGTACTTTTTCATGGCAAATTTTAACAGGATTGTCAATAGTATAATACAGGCCCAGAACAGCGATTCAGACCAAAATATAATTCGCTCATACTTTTTTATTTTCTGAAATTTTATATGATTTTATTCAGCCTGGCTTCGTATGTTACATTTTAATCACTCGAATTATATCTACATAACGTTGGAGTTAGTAGTTAAAAATTAGTCATCAAGTTTCTTACGATAGGTTCGCAAAAAGTTGCTATTAATATGGATTTATGCGCTTAATAGCAGTTAATTTAGCTTCAGTGTGCAGATGTTCTCTAGGGATATTAAAGCTTCTCCGTCTACTGGTTTTATGTTGTATGTCATGGGACATTTATGCATAAATTTATATAAATATAGAATAAAGGTCCCTTTACGAAGTTTCCACTGCACATATTTAGTGCTTGACTTCAGCAATAACACATAATATTCTCGCTCATCTTTATCAAATGTGGCTTTGACTTTATGCCTCAATATTCACGACTAATGCTTTGATCCAATTGATTTGCAACAAACTACGAAAAATACAATAATAAATCAGAGATACAAAGATTAAATATCGTGTTTTAGATATAAATCAAGAACACATATGTTATAATACATAGGGCGCACTATACGTTTCTGGAACTGGCCAATTACATAAATAATATTTTAAAAGTAATAAGAACATTTGAAAATGGAACTTTTTGGCTATAGAATACAGTTTGTTTCATCTAACTTGTTTTTACATTGTGGCGTCATTTTAGAAATTGGTTGTCTGCACCACCACGGATTTAACTCGTGAAAATTTTCGTAGTATGATTTTCTATGACTTTAAGTGTAAATTAACAGCTCAGCGGAGCTTCACTTGGCTTCTAACTGATTTTGGTGATGTAGCACCATGCAAGACGACTTTTATTAGCTGGTTTGCAGAATTCAAACGCGGTCGTGTGAATCTCAGTGACGAATTTCGTTATGGTCCCCCCTCCACTGCTGTAAACAATAAAAACATCGATGCTGTGCACCGTATGATTAAAACAGACAGGCATGTGACATACCATGAGATTCGGACATCTTTAGGCATTGGCATGAGTCAAATACAATCAACACTTAACAAACATTTGGGTGTGAAAAAGCTGTGCTCTCGGTGGTGCAATGCCATGCTTACCAAATTCAACGAAGGGGCGTCAAATTTGGTGTGGGACATAGTAACAGGTGACGAAACATGGATTTATAGTTATGATACAAAAACAAAGCAGCAATCGAGCGTATGGGTCTTTCAAGATGAGCCGAAACCAACCAAAGTGGCGCGCGTGTAAAGTGCCTCTAAGCGGATGATTGCTTCTTTTTTAATAAAACTGGACTCGTGGCTACTACTGCTTTGGAGAATCATTGTACCGTGAATAGTTATTGGTACACGACCATTTGTTTGCTGGAAGTTATTGACAAACTCCGTAAAAATAACCGTAAACGTCGTATCATCTTCCGCCACGATGCCAGTTCTCACACGGCCAGACAGGCAAATGAATTTTTGAAGGTGAACAACATGAGTCATGACATTGTGACATTATGAGCCATCCCGCGTAGTCCTTTTTTTTTTTGACGGGGGGGAAATCTTTATGGATA